AGAAACCCAAAACACTAATTTGAAAGAATATACACACCCCTATGTTCACTGCACAGGATTTACAGTAGCCAAGGTTTGGAAGCAGTTCAAGTGCCCATCAACAGATGAGTGGATAAAAAAGCTGTGGTACACATACACAATAGAATATTGCCCAGCCACAAAAGGAAGCCATTCTTATCATTTGTGGCAGCATGAATGGACCTAGAGGGTATCATGCTAAGTGAAATAAATCAGGCAGGGAAAGACAAATATCATATGATTTTGCTTATATGTGGAATCTGAAGAACAAAACAAATGAACAAACAAAATAGAAACAGACTCATAGATACAGAGAAAAGACTGATGGCTACCAGAGGGTAGGGGTGTTGGGGAAATGGGTAAAAAATATGAAGGTATTAAAAAGTACAAATTAGTAGCTACAAAATAGTCAAGGGGATATAAAATACAGCACAGGGAATATCATCAATAATACTGTAATAACTACGTATGGTGCCAGCTGGGTTCTGGAAATATCAGAAGGAACACTTTGTAAAGTATATGATTATCCAACCACTATGCTATACACCTGAAACTAAAACAAAGTAATATTGAATGTAAGCTGTAGTTTAAAAACTTTTTTTTTAGTCCTGGCTTGTGTGGCTCAGTGGTTGAGTGCTGGCCTGCAAATCAAGGGCTCGCCGGTTCAATTCTCAGTCAGGGCATGTGCCTGGGTTGCAGGCCAGGAGGCCACTCAGGAGGCAACCACACATTGTTGTTTCCTTCTGTTTCCCTCTACTTTTCCCTCTGTCTAAAAATAAATAAAATCTTTAAAAATGAAAAAATTTTAATTTTTGGTTCCAAATTTTATTATTTTATTTATTTTATTTTTTATTTAATCTTTATTGTATTTTTCCATTACCATTTAGTCCCTTTATACCCTCCTCCCCCCAGCAATCACCACATTGTTGTCCATGTACATGGACGAAAATAAAGTTTAAATAAAAAAATAAATATTCCCCAAATTAGTTAATTTCAGGAAGAAAATGTCACAGGATCTATGCTCCCCACTCCCCCCCCAAAAAAAGAGAGAGAGAGAGAGAGAGAGAGAAAATATTTAAGAACTAGATATCTATGTTTTAGTTATCAAAATTCCATGGCTAATGCAACATTCACATTATACCTTATAGTTTTAAAAAGTTCAATTGAAAACATTGCCAAATTCTAAGCATCGATCCTAGTAGACCTACATTGAGTGTTGATGAAAGTAAACACTCACACACCAGAAGACACTTCATCTGGATCCCAGAGAATCTGGACGTCTCCTCTCCCATAGATGGATGGGTACAAGGGACAAATCGCACCAGAGAAACAGTAAAGAGATGGTTCTCTGGTTCTGTGGCAACCTCATAGCAGCATGGAGAAACAGCTCTCTGCTAACAACCTCTGTCCAGTGATAAGTGGTGAAGGATCGTAATTTGGAAACTGAATTCCAAATATAGCTTGGAATAGTAACATTCCTAATAATTCTAATCTGCTTAACTTTTTATGTATGTATCCAGATTTTATCAACCAAGAATGATTTCTTAAGATAATTTGTCTCGGGGATGTAAAGTGTATGCCCAAATGAACCAGGGCATCGTTTTCAGAGCATCCCTGATTCCCAGCGAGCAGGTGCTTAATCTTGAGAGCGTACATTCGTCTGGAGTGCTCTTGTTGGGTGCATGGGCAGACGGATACACGCTGGTGTCAGGACGTGCTCCTCATGGTTAGTTTCTAAATGGCAGGCCACCAAGAGAGGAAATGTGGACTCTTAAAAGAAATGTTTTTCTAAAAATGATGCTATCTTCATTTTCCCACATGTTCTGAGAAATCTGTTCCCACGTTCCATTTCAACAGAAGGACGAGATGACACTGCTTCCTACCACAGTAACATGTCTATCTCAGCCTTCTCTGCGAGCGACAACCTACGGCCATGTTCACTGATATTTTAATTTCTTTGGTAACATGGGGAAATGAGCACACTATTTTTTGAATTGCATTATTATTAAAATAATGTTAGATGTATCTTTTGAAGTGCAGTTCATGATTCTCTATGATTTCCTTTCATTGGATGTCAAACAATTTGCACATGAGCTATTTTACAATCCCAAACATGTAAAAAGCTACTGTTTTCAATGGCATTGAATTTTTTTTTATTGATTGATTTTAGAAAGAGAGGAAAAGGAAAGGAAAAAGAGGAAAAAAATCAATTTCTTGTATGTGCCCTGACAGGATCGAACCTGCAACCTTGATGTATCAGCACAATGTTCTAATCATCCAGCTAGGGTCTCAACAACCCTTTTTAAATAGGGAGATAAAATTATTTTAGTTGTGAATAAACCTGTACTACCTATTAACAAATTCTAGAGATTTTTCAATTGATTCATGTAAGTCATCAACTTAGACTTGCTAAAGAAGGTAGAAAGTATATTTCTACTTACAAGGAGTCAGGGAGCACATTAGAGATAATTTGGTTAGACTACAAGTAAAATATCTTAATTCATTAATTTTAAATGTTACAATTCCTAATAACTAAAAGGAATAGCACTTACAATTAGAATACTCAAGCTAGTACTTTCTGAACACTGTCATTAGAATACTGTACCCTTTGACAATTCTTGTTTAATTTTCATTTTTCTCAGTTATGCCCAGGGTTGTATGCAAGTCAGTGTTGACAGTGACCAATGTGTCCCCAGATGAATCCTGCATTTTCATGTAAGTGATGGCCCCACCACAAATCTCCATCTCAAAGGGATTAAAACAGGATATTTGTACCAAAAAAGATATACCACTGGAATAGGCTAAAGGACAAATAATAAATTGTTTCATGTGAAATGTTTATTATTGTTTTGTTTGCTCTCATTATTTGAGATCATGTTTTTGAAATATAAAATATCATGACACAAATATTAATTTAAAAACATCAAAATTAGATATGTTGACATAAATCTGTAACACACATATTAATATAAATAGCCATGCAGCATGTAAAACAAATTCCAGATGGTTATATTATGTCATGTGATATAATTTATGCTTAAGTTATTACTGGTAGTTTTCAAGCATTTAATGCCTCTATTTGAGGTATTATAAATATTTGTGAATGTGAGCTCATACACACTAAATATTTTGTAATTTTTAGTTAGTCAGAATTAGAAGTAATGGCTAACTCACCAGGAAAACTTGTCTTTTGCTCTAGATTTGGACCTACTGTTTGGATCTGCTGTTCATAGTCAAGAACCTCATAATGAAGGTCGTCTGTCTCCACCTTGTGGTTACTGTAAATATTGCTACTTTTGACTGAAGGAATGAAAAAATGACTCCTTGCCTACCTTTGGATTTTTACTTTTAAACATCAGAAATTTTTAAAAAATTATTACACATGACAGAAAAATTCAGATACATTATGCTATCAGGTTAGGTCATCTAAAGCATTTCTAGGTCTCTTTGTCAATGCTATTAGTAATTGCTTGGAAAAGCATTATATACCTGTAGCATCACATAGCTAAACTGGATACTTGAGCAGTCTCTTCAAGACAACTCCATGTGTAAATATGTTTCATTTACCTTAGAATTTCATAGCACATGCAGGCCCTGTATGATACTTTCTGGGAAAGTTACACAACGAGGGAAATATTTTTCTAATAAGAAATTGTTTTTTCCCTTCTCTCCAGGAAAGTTGTAAGTATTCAGTAATACATCTTAGGTTCTTTAGTCAATGCTTTTATTCTACATTTTAAAGCCAAATATGTAACTTCTAAATACACACTAATTTCTTCTTTATCCATTCAACCATAAAAACTGCGGATATTTCAGGGATGGAGACACACTGCTTTGCTTTCAGGGATTTAAGGTCTGCACAATTTTGTGTGAGTGGATGAGAAATTTTCACAAAAGTATTTAAGTCATAGATTACCCCTGTCAATTCAGGTCCGAGTAAGAAACAGTTTTTTGATCAGGTCATCTATAGGAAATAATTTGAGATGATCTAATCTGAGCAAAAAGTTCCTGCTTGGTTGAACTGTTTAAACCAAAGTTGCCAGCCATTATATTAACTAAGCATATATTTATCTTTTGTGTCTTCTGAATTTCATGCCATTTTTGCATGTAGAGTTCAGTATCATGAAGAGAAGTTAAAATTCCATTGATTTGGAGACTCGACCTCAGAATCAGCAGAATGCCCTAGTCTCTCACTCACCCACATTCCTCACAGCAGTGTAAGTTCCTGGTTTTCTCAGGGCTTAGGCATGAACTACCTACTCTTTGGTTTGGACCACAATCCACAGTGAGATAGATGCAGCAAGCCCGCCCCTCTTTAAATGCACAGGTTGTACATCACAGAGAACTGTGCATCATGTAGTCAACATATAACCTGACCTTAGCACAGACTTCCACTCTGTGCTCTTTCTCCCTGACAACATTGAGTTTTGACAGTTCTATTACACATCCCTTCAATAAAGTAAAATAAACATAAGTAATTTGTCTCTTTAGAAAAAATGAAGGTCATAATATGTCTGTGTATTGCTGTTTTCAAAGATTAAATGCCCATAATTATATCTCAGATTTTGATGATCCAACCTTAGCTGCCTAAACACTATGGTACTTATGTTAACTAAAGCTTAGGATTCAAATAAACTTAACAGAGATTTATGATTTCCAGAGAAGTATTCATAAAACATAAGACAAAAGATAATACTATTTAAGTACATCTGTGAGAAACAATTCTGAGAAATAGATTTTATATTGTATATAATTAACCACCGTAACATAAATGAGTCTGTTTCCTTAAAATTTTCTTCGGATAAAAAAACCCTGAAGAAAGTTGGAATTCAGGAGGGGACAGTTAGAAAATACAGAAAACTTCACTGATAGCATTTCCATTCCAAAGGCTGGAACACTGCTCAAATATTGGACTTAGCATTTAATTCACAAAGCACATAGGTCAGACGGGCGCCCTCATGTGGGAACAGGCTAGGGCTTACCTTTTTCATTGCCATTTGCATATGCTGGAGGCTTGTTTTTGTCAATGCTGTTAAAGCTCTGACTCCTCCTGTTTAAGTTGGAGGCTCCCTGGACCTTGCTGCTGCTGCTGCTCGCAGCTGGCACCCTGGAGGGCCCGGGAAGCCTGAAGCAGTGTAAGAAAAAGGACATCACTATTGTGCATTACCAAAACGGGGGAGGGAGGTGGTAGCGGGAGGTTCTAAGCAGGGAAAAGTTAACGCGAAAGCACAATACACAATACACAATGTTCTAAAATCTACTTAGCAAAAACTGTTGCTTTAAGTGACAGATAAATAGCTAAACATAAAGTTTGAGAATCTTCAGAAAAAAATCTTGTTTCACTTTTTAATAAATATGGCTCCAAAGTATATTCATAATATAGAGCAATTAGAAATAAAGTCACCTGTAACTGAAAAAAAATCATACTTACCACACCCTGATGAATAAAAATTGGACCTAAAGGTACTGTAACAATTACATAAAAAGCAAGGGAAATAATAACGCTTAACTTTATTATGTTCTCAGGGCATTGCTCAGCTAAACGGCTAAACGGTAAATACCTATTGACCATCTGAGCTAGTTAGCTGCTTCCAAACACTCAATGGAGAGCAAAGTTGTGAGCTGGTTCATTTTTGACCAGTCTGACTCTCATGAAGACTTCCATTCTCTTTCCAAAAGGAAGCACCTAGGCTTCATCTCAGAAGGGCGGCTAAGCGATCACAGAGGCAATGTACCGGGAAGGGACTCGGGTCTCAGGAGAGAGTCTCTGCTCACAGAAGGACAGTTTAAAATACACCTGCAGTCTCAGTAGCGTCAGCTATTCTTTGTGTATGAAGGACAGAACATTAGAAAATAATGCAGACTATCTTAAAACTAGAAGCTTGACAGGAAGTACTAATCTGCGATTATTTTCCTGGGACTGTAAATAGATTGGATCATTCACTGTTTAAACAGTTTCTATGTTAAAATTTCAAGTCTTAATTTTTTCAATGAATTGTGCCTAAAATGTGCAATTACTATTTTATTTTATACTACTAACATTCACTGTATACATAATAGACTCAATCTGCATAAATTAAAAGCTAGAAATTAAGAAATCATATTCGCATTCTGAGACATTTTTAAATACATGATATGAAAAGTTGCTGGCCATTTCAGTAGTGCCTGCTGCCACCATGTGACTGCCACTGTGTACTGCTGTGATAATTTCTATTTTAAAAGAAAAATAAAAGTAACCCACAGCTTACAAAACACTACTGAATTTTTACTGTTCTCTTTTTAAATTTTTCAAATATAAAAGAATGTTTATATCTGTTATATCACTGCCTAATATATTACGATTTCACAGTTGGTTGTGACAATATTCACATTTAAACTCAATGCATAATATTACTTCATATATTATTTCCATAGATTATTAGGAGATTGAATGCTTCATAATATACCAATAAATACTTTTTAGTAGTAACAGAACAGTAAAATGGAATGGACATCAGGAAAGCACATATACCAGCTTAAAAACACAAGTGTTGATTTCTTAGAATAGTTAATAGTTTCAAAATGTTGACTGTATTTTGGAGTTTAAGTACATGTGGCTAATAAAGAATCTCATCAGCTATTTTGCTAATTAGAGGTTGTGTCATATGCAAGATGAGAATTTTTTCCAAATGATTCCAGCATTTAAACTTGTTGAAATCCATCTCCAGATTTACACGAATTTTGTTGCAAAGCTTGCTGTGCTTGTGGTAAAAGTTGATCTGTTTCTAAAAAGTAATTGAAATATGCATTTTAATCTTTACTGTGACCCATGAGGCCAAGTGATCTTTAGTTCTGAGAAGATCAAATTAAAACAATTTTAGAAATCCATTTGCTCTCCTCATTACCCTAATTTGACAGGCAGCCAGGGTTCCAGAACATCCATCAAAGTAATAAGAAGAAATGAGAATAAAGACCCAAAAAAGAAGAGATAGAGGTATTCTACTGAATCAAAGTCCTTAAAATATATTTTATATGCACAAGTCTTAGAAGTGATAATAAAATGCTCATGCACATGGCAGGTCATTGCTCTTGCACATCCTAACTTATAACATGCCTTCTGGTTTTTAATTAAATACCCTTTTAGTTTGTCTCTCCAGAACAATTTTAATTACTACAGAGAACCCAGGCAAGGGGAAAAGCACATATTGCAAGTCAAGGCACCATGATGAGCAGGCCTTGCGGTCAAACGTCGCACAGTAGGACTCATCCTTGCAGCAGTGCCCAGTGAGCCCCTGAGACACCTCCCCAGGAGTGAGACAGCATCTGGAACCACATAGAGTCAGGGGCACAGACACATGCACTGTGCTGCCCTCAGCTGCTCCACGCCACCTTCATGCCTTCAGCAACTTAACATTTAACAGAGAACCAAAACTTTCAACATGTTTTTATATACCAGTACTTTCCGAACAGTCCAGGCTGACTTAGCACTAACTTCTAAGCAAATAAATAAATAAATAAATAAATAAATAAACAAACAAATAAATCAATGTTGGCCATTGTTTCTTAATTCTGCTTCAGAAAATGCAATCATCAATGCATGTCCATCTCAAAAAGCATTTGTAATTTTGCTGCATAACTTTCAGATTCCGAGACCTGGAATGGGACCTTCAAGGCAGTTTTTTTCCTTGACTTTCCTTAAGCCTGGAACCTAGACTTCAGCCCAGTTAAAGCACTGCATCTGACAAAGCTCAGTTAAAGAAGCCAAACCCCATTTTAGTGCTCAGACTCAAACATGCTCATCCCTGAGGCTGCACAAGGATATCCTCCTGGAAGAATCCAGTCCTCTAAACTGTTCGTCCAGAAGTGTGTACTTTTTGAAAAAAATTGGAATGATGGGACAAAATATCACTGGGAATTTACTTTATCATCACTAATAAGCAATAAATTAGACATTAACTGACCTAGTAGGCTTTTTCTGACTGGTTGCAATTCCACTGTGATTAGACTGAGGTGCATATCTGGCTGCCAGACTGTATGAGAAGAAACAGAGAAATTGAATTAAAGAGATTTTTTGAACATGAAAAGAAAGCACAAACTTACAAGAAAACTATGAGTTAATGAAATGCAATTGGAACATGTATACACATGGATAAAGAATAAATCAATTAGAAAATTATGATAATGCAACAGATACACCATGGTATTTGATTGTGAACGCGCTGGGAGGTAATGCGGTGGTGCACCCCTTGTGACGTAGGGTGTCATTACTGGCTCTAAAGGTAAGCCTGTGCAACATCATTCACGTTATTTCAAGTAGTATTAATTCACCTTATAAAATATTTAACTGTTGTAAATGACTAGGAAAACTTCAGGAAAGCTAGTTTGGTGCATACAGTAGAAAGATCTCTTCCTCAAAGAGCTAAAATTAAAATTAGAGTATGAAATAAGTCATCATTTTCTTTAATAAACTCTTCTAATTTGCTCTTTTCACCTAAATGCTTTCTTCAAAACCACATGATTAAAATATCTGCTTTCTAATAACTTATTGTTGATCTTCCATCTCAGAGTGTTTTAAAGAAGTCAACTACACAGACGTTTTCCTGAAGAAAGAGTTACACAAGAATTGAGGTGAAAGTGCAGTTAAATTCTTCAAAAACCAAGTGAATGACTACTAATGACAAGTGAGTATTCTTGAATTATAATTCTTAATAATAAAAAATGGATCAAAAAACACAGAAAACACATTATTTAAACCAAGTTTTGAAGAGCAGTCAATACTTTATAAACAAAATGAAAAGTTGCACTTGAAGTTAAACTGATTTCCAAATTCCCCAAGGGGTTTGAACCCGGTGCTCTGAAGGGTGTGGTGAGACACCCGATAGCCCTGAAGGATGCTGACACACCCTGGGATGGCCACGGGCTGACTGATGCCTGTGTGGGCAATCACTTCGCAGGTGAATCATGATGGCTCTGCATGAACCCAGGGGTTGCATACAGTTTCCAAAGCCTCCAAGGAAACAGGAGCACCGTAGGGGTGTTGGAATCAGGGAAGAAGGGGCACTTGGAGCCCTGCTGCAGTCGATCCAGTTGTTTTGCTGCCAACCACAGGGTATTTCAGTCAAAGGATGGATTTCTCAAGATGATGACATATTTCCTAAGTTATTTCTCACTCCACTGAGCGAGTCTGTGGTGGAAGCACGCAGGTCCTTAAAACCACCTGGTTAGACAGGAATCAATCCTGATGTCTAGGAAGCTTTTCAGGTTCACAGAGCACTTGTTTTTCACATTTCATTTGAGATATGTTGTTATCTGCATAAAGCATTGCTTTCTATAAGTACTCTGGACTCTGAGTCAGCTGCCATAACCCACCAAACTACCCAAATAATAGTAATAACAGAGGATGATTTAAAATAAAAACCAAAAGTGTCTCAATGAAATTAGAAAATTATTTTTTTAATTTAAATTTAAGAATACATGTACCAAAGAAAATCTTTTGTGAACTCAGCCTGCTTTGTCAATCCAAGAGTCAGAACTGCCTAAAGGTAGTTCTGACCAGTTTTAGCAGGAGAGATGACAGTAAAACAAGGTACTTTCCTTCATGAAGCTGAAGCTACCTCATTGGTTTTTCTTCCATGATTTTAAGAAATATCATAATTTCTAGTATAGAAATGAAAAAAAAATGTAGAGAGGTCAACTGATGTGGCCAAAATCAACTTGGTTTAATGGTTCATGTGTGTTTTCTAATGTGTTACAGAGAGTCCTTGCCACCTACGTTTTTATAATATGCCCTCACACTTCAATCTTTTGAAATGAGACTTCTGCCCTGGTTTCCTACACTTGTGAAACTGTTACTGGAAGAATAGACCTGAATTCAGTTCGTATCGTACTCTAACATCTTTGCACTTGACCGCATTGTTCCCTTTGCCCTTTTCAGTCTCTCTCTCTCCTTTTCAGGCTCTCTCTCTCATGCAGATATGCTCACCAAATTGACCCACCATCTTTGTTTCAAAGGTCCTCTTCCTTAATCCATCTCTTAAGGAAATGAGTTTTCTTATGTCCTCTTTACTCAAATATTTGCATGCGTTCTTTTACTTTGCAATTTGTTTCTTACCCAAGATTTCAAGTAAAATCTACTAGAAATTAGAATTAATGTCTACAACACACTCCCATCCATCAATATCCACTGAGTAAAAGAGGCACCTTTCCATGATCCTCAAAATCACCATATTAAACTCACCATGTTCCTTCTTTTATCACCCAAGTCCCAGTCAGATCCTTCCCTTCATTTCTTGGTTTCTCCTCGCAGCACCACCATTTGGTCCTATGAGCTGAAACCTCTATAGTTGTTTCTTCCCTTTTTCTTTTTAATTATTATAGGTTTTCAGTCATCACTATGTCACTTGCATGTATGTTCTTATTCAATTTCCATATTAATCACACTAAACTCATGATCTCAACACTTTCTTTAAAACATCTAGCTCCCTTTATTTTTCTTAGTTTTGTTTTTTTTTTAAAATCTGACTCTGCCTTCCTAAATAGCAGAAAAACATTTTTTTTCTCCAGAGTGCTTGAAATACCATTTCCCAAGTTTCAGATTTATAAACACTAGTAAACCGCAGGTGAGTAGGTAAGCTAACACAAGTTATTAGTAAAACAGACACAAAGAACATGTAGACACAGCACTGAGGCAAGTGGGGTAGAAACACAAAGTCAGGGCACCAGTAAACCAAGGCTTTTCACACATCTGGACTCAATGAAGATTGCATATTTTTTTCCTGAAATGTTGTCAAATGAGACTATAGCTAATGAGTGGCAAAAATATCAGTAACAGAACAAAAGAAATAAATATTTTGAGATTCACTGTGGGTTCTACTAAAGGAAGTATCAGCTCCTCTACCTGATAGAGTGGAACATTAAGGGAATTCTTTTCATTTCCCATAACTTGGAAGGGATAAGGGGACTAGGGACAGCCAATGGTGGGGGTTGGGGGAGGAGGAATGAAACTCATCTGGGGTCCACTACACAGAGAGTTTTAAACTGAGTTCTTTAAACAGAACTTTCTAATCTGGCATCAGTGCAAGTTTCGATGTGGGACTGTAACGTCCAGTTAGTATAAGGAAAGAAAGGTTCTCAAAGCAAACATCCTGAATTGCCATCACCCATTTTTAACAACCACTAGAGCTTCGCTACTCACAAATGCTGTCCATAGACCAACAAAAGGGGCACTGAGTCAGAATCTGTTTAAATAGCAAAATCAAAGCAGTTGATTACTCAACAGCAGATATTACTCATCTGCTGTTTAATAGCAGAAATATTTTAATAGAGTCCCTAAGTGATTCCTATGCATAATAAAATTGAAGGAGCTACACTCTGCAGAATATTCACAAACTACAACCCCTTGGAGGAAAAAAGTTTATAGTTTCCTAAATCAAACAGCATAATCTAACTCAAGGCACACCTCATCTTCTATCTAGCTGCTGCTTCATTTTTTTATTTAATATTTTATTGTTTATGCTATTACAGTTGTCCCACTTTTTCCCCCTTAACTCCCCTCCACACAGCCTGTCCCCCACTTCCATAACCAGTCCTTTCATCCAGCTACCATTGATACCTTTCTTCTTCTAGAGACCCAGGTCTCACCTTTCTCCATGTGATAGCTCTCTCTCCAGCTACTCCTCCTGTTTCCCAAATACGGGTCCACTCACTATCCCCACCTGTAAATTTTGGACTACCATGATGAATATTTCAAAATTATAATCCTAGGCATCAGGATTATGCCTAGAAAGAATTTCTCTCCATTCCTTTTACATCACATCACATTCTATTTTGTACTCAAATCTCAATCCTAAACTCAGAGCCTCTTTTCAATGTTTCCTTGATACTTCTTACATACTCCACCAGGATCTACCACCTACATTTCTTCCAGACATTCCAAATGTGTTAGAAACTTCATTTGCTTTCCTTCCTTCAGACCACCTTCTCTCTCTTTGATTTTGCTATTTAAATTCAGCGTCACTAACATTTTCTCCACTGAACAATATGGAGTTGTCCTAATAATTACTCAGGCTTTTTTTTAACTTCCTTGTCATTTCTTTTGTGGACTCTAACAATCCCTCCTCACTAGATTCTTTGTTATCAGTCTATTTTTATGTCCAGGCAAACCAAATTATTCTTCCCACAGCCAACAGAATTAACTCCCCTAAGAAAGAATGGAAGCCAGTCTCCTTCTTTGAAATTGCTGTTGACTCTCCATTGTCTCCAGGATAAAATCCAAGCTCTGAGGTTTGTGTATGCAGCATTCAACATGTCTCTTCATCCTCTCCTATGGTTTCATCTCCTCTGCCACATTGCACCCCATGCTCTCCATGGTCACCACCTCTTCCTCTTGCCTGTAGCCTCTTTTCTCATGGGCCCATTGATTTTCTCATGAGGATTCCTTCATTTGAAAACATTCCTTCTCTCTCTCACATTATGAAATCATACTTGCATTTCAAAATCTTGCCCAGATATCAATTGAAGTTGAAGCATATTTCAAAATCAGAGTTAGTTTTTCCTCCACAGGTTTATAGGTCTTCATTCATCTGTAGCTATTAAGTTCATATGGGAATTTGTCATGGTAAATGTTTCCCGAACTGACTGTTTATTGTCCAAGACAGAAATACAAGGTCTGTCCAGAAAGTATCCAGCCACATGATATTAAAAAAAAGAGACATTTACTGAAGAAGATATAAGATATGAGAAATACTGTACAAAGGATAATGATGCATCTGTACCCTTCACAGGAGGCATCTTGGGACCTCACACAGTTCCAGTCACCATCAGCTGCCCTGTCATATTTTCCTGAATATCCTCAATGGTCTGAAATCTCTTCCCTTTCAAAGGTGATTTTCATTTTGGGAAAAGCCAGATTTTGCAGGGTGCTAAATTATCTGAATAGTTTCAGTGGAGGAATGTTCAAGCTTAATGCAAAATTTGATGCAGATTCATTGCTCTACTCAGTCATTTTGAATGTGATGGCCACACAGTACAC